ATTACTGCTGCAAAACATGGTGAGAAAAAGATAATTGTTCAGTACAGTCCAAAGCGTTAGCCATAAGAGTAGGCCAATGGATAGACATGGGAGAAGAAAAGCCGATTATTGTTTACCAATAAATTACCAAAGAAATTGTACTTTAGGATCAATCATGTATGATGTCAGCAAAGGAAGCAGAATATGTTTGGGCATATAGGGAGACTGATATGGAAGAATTATATTACAGGTATGTCAAGATTACCTATGGTTGAGCTTGTTTTATTTAATATTTTCTTGCTGTAGATCCATGTTCCCTCTTGGAAGCAGAAGCAGCTCTTCTAACACAGCAGGAGATAGCTCGATATGGATAATAGAAGTGAAAAATCTGATATTAATGTTGTGATTTGTCATGTTAAGCTGATTTTAATCACAAATATATTTCGGACTAATACATGTTTGTATTGTCTTTGCTAACATCTATAATATTAATCTCTATAATTTTAGTTTATCTGTTTGAACATGTAACTATGTTCTACCTGTTTGTCTTGGTAAATATTTGCCAAATTGTCCAATATTAAATTAAAACTCCTTGAATATGTATTCTTCAAATTGAGATCTGCTTAGCTACTGGCCTTGGATTCAAACTTTGATGTTGCTGTTTTAAAGATATGCCTATGGCATTTATGTAATTTGGAAATCTGTAATATTTGAGTCAGTTCTTTTCAAAAGAGTTTCAGATATATGACAATTAAAACTTCAGTCTTATGTATAATTTCTGATATGATCTGGATTGCCAAAAAGGAGGGCAAAAGATTGGGGCAAAATTATTGTTCATTTACTAAGGTTATTCTGAATAACAGAACACAAAAATATGCCTGCCTGGAAGACAAATATGGGAAAGAGAGTGCATATTGATGAAATGGTGCCAAATGTAACAAAGGAGATATGAGCAATGGCTGTTACTTATATGCATTCTTAATTCTGGTTAAAAGCATGAAGGAGTCTTTAAAGTACAAAAAAAGAATCACTGTTGCATTGACAGAACCACCTGCTATAACTCACATTATACCTGCAAAGGGAGGTTCCAATTACTATACAATTGGTGCTGATACTGGCTTAAATTGACTTGGAATGGGCAGTTTTCCTAGTAATTGGATGACATATGACTCTTGAAATAATTGGCTTCTGAATGTTTGGAGGAGTTTGAGATGTTTTGCTGTTGGCACTGGGAAAGAGGAGTATGATCACATCAGTGATGAAAGACTTGTAAATTCTACTCAGATACTTTCATTAGTAACTGAGTTTAGAAGATAAATCACTAAGGGACTACAACTTGTAAAAGCAATTGAAATTAGAATATCAGGTAGTCTTTTCATTTTTTCTCTGATGAATATTTCTGTACCTTTCACAACTGTCTGACACCAGAAATTCAACAGGTAGAGCTTCCCTTTCCATTCAGTATACATGCCACAAAAAGTTTCATGCTGACTTTATGATTGTCTAGTATCAGCCAGTTAAAAATGTAAAGCTGCTGTAAGGGGAACACATTTGTCTGTGCTGTTTTAAAGATTGCCATATTTTCCAAATAGTAGAAATACTCAAATACTTAACCTAGCAAGCTTGTTTTACACCTGTGATATTTTTTTCTTTCTCTTTTCAAAATATTTTAAGTATGTTGCCTTATTTTAATGGTTCCATTTTACTTTTGTCAAAGGAAAAATAAGTCTTTTCTTCCGTCTAGCTGTCTAGTTTCCTTCTAGCTGTCATTTTATGAAGCTGGTAGAAACCTGCCTTTCTGGTTTTTACTGCTGCTGGATTATAAGGCATAGCTTTATGACTCATTTTGCCCAATTCTTTGTTCACTGTTGCTGATTATTTTTCAAATAAATATTTCCCTACTTAGAATGTAAGCCTCTAGCATTTCTAAGTATAAAACTAACTCTTTAAATTTTAGAAATATTCCCAGTCCAGTTTGTTTATTCATCCTTTTCTCCTCTCCCTCTAATGGAGTTTTCTACCAGACCTGTGTACAGTATAATGGTCAGTATTTGTCTCTATTCTTTAGAAGCAGGATACCACATTGTTCCTTAGTTTTGCGTTTGGTTCAGCCTTCAACAAAATAGTACACTCTCAAAAATCAACACAGCCCTGCTATGCAGTCATGATCTTGTTTATATAATTTGCTTAACTGAGTCAAAGGGGTTATAAATGTGTCATGTGAACACCTGACTGCAGTGATAGAGGTGGAGGGATTAACAGAAGTTTCAGTGGTCAACTGTTCATACAGAAGAGAGTTAGTGGAGCTTGAACCCTTTCTTCCTACTGCTGAAAGAGAAACCAAGCCTTTGGATAGTGCCACAAAATTGGGGTTTCTCTAGACACACTAGCTCTGTTTTACACCCTTCACACATAGCCACAGGAAAGTGGAACGGGAGCAGAAAGAGTTGGGGATAGGTATACTGTTGAACCTGATTGGGCCACTAATTATTTGCACATTCTTTTTTTCTCTGATTCTAAAAATAACCACAGGAAATGACAGCCCCCCCCCATCTTATTTGTAGTGGCAGGGAAGATGTCTAAAACGGGCACTCCCTGGTTGACTGCATGATTCCTGATCATGAGCTGGTAGGGCACAGCTCTGAGTCAGTTACTTGGAGAAATGGATGACTGGGTCAGTTGTGTCATGTACATTCAACCAATCTGTTATAGGAATTTTGTGAGGGGAGGGGATTACCCCCCCATGCTAAATACATCATTACATGGTTCTTGCTATCCACTGTCTGTGCTTGCTGGGAATTCTGAGAACTTGTAGTCCATCAGAGGTGCTCTACCTTACTATGTTCAGACATGTGCCCTACTCTGTTATGAGCAATGAAAACCATAACAGTTTTACCACAGGGCAGAAAAAGCCCTGGCACTGGTTGGATATGTTTTGCATTTTTTCATTTAAGAGCCTACAGTGTCAAGTAGATAGGCATGACTCATTTGTGAAGCAGCTTAATATTGTAAGATGTGATTTTATGTAATTATTTCACTGATTTCTCTTAGATGCAGATCAAATGAGAAGTTCTGAGTACCAGTAGAAACATTTAAAGTATAGGGTACTGATGTGGATTGTATATGAAAAGCATCTCTGCAATAAGTATTATATTCCTATTCAACTAATGTGAAACTAATTGCAGTTATGTCAGTTAATTTTCCTTTAATGCATTTAGTAGAAATAAATTCTTATAAGCCAGTAAGTCCTAAGGATGAGTGAAGCAAAATATTGGCCTACTGAAATAGATTCCTGTTATCTTTTTGCTTTTCTTTGTATCTGAATTGTTTTATAGACTTCTTCAGCTATTGTAAATGAGTATTCAGCTGTAGTAATGTTCATATGATGAGCTTGTGGTGATACTACTTCAACGTCCTCAGAAAGCATAACCTAGATTCAGTACAGTCACAGCCACAATACTACATAGTAATTGTATAATTGTTGAAAACTTGGGAACAGATGCATATTCATGACAAGCAAATGAAGCATTAATAATTTTTTGCCCAACTGCCAGGCCTTGTCATTTTCTGACTCTTCTTGGGCCTGGATTTGCTGGGTTCAATTTTGTCTGCTGGTCAACAGAAGGATAATCAAACTTATTGTGAGCAACAGTGGAGCAGTTACAATGCAAATGGTGAAAAAAATATTGCAGTGGAAGTAGTTGACCTGATGTTCTTCATTTGTTCTGGACTGAAAGCTCCAAGGTAGCCAACTGTGAGCAATTCTGAAAACTTTAATCAGAAAATCTAGAGGGCACTTGATTGTGTCCTGCAGACTATAAGTGTAGGGTATAGCTGCTGCACTGTTAAAATGTGTATATGTACAAGGATTGGTTAATTACTTGTACTTTTCTTGGTACAGAAAATGTTTTCTTCTCCAAAATATTTATGTTCGGTGTAGGTTGAAACTGAATGTTATCATATATTCATGCTTTTAAGTTTTTGGGTTTTTTTATGCTGTTTTCCTGATTATGTGTTTTAATTTTGTCCTTACAGTAATTTAAAGTAATTAAAGACAGATGTTGCAATTTATTGTATATTACTTGCTAGCTTTGAGATTTTTGAAAATTAAGTTAAAATGACTGGGATTTTTTTTTTTTTCTTGGCTGTTTTATATTGTTTTAGATGAGATTTTTCTCTGCTTTTCTTTTTCTACATCTAGACCATACTAATGTGCTTGCTTGTTTATTCAAAGCCTATATCCTCTCTTTCATGTTGTTGGCACATTAAACACTAAATGCCTGATACCTCTCATTTCCTCATATTTGATTCTGCTGTGCTTTAGCCTTTTTTTTTTTTTTAACTTGTTTAAGAATATATGGTATAATATGCTATTATACTGATATTTTAATTACAGAGCATAATACACATTCTACTTCATTGTCAAGGAAATTAGCTAACAGGATGTACTTAACACAGTACTACTAGTAAAGTAAAACAAATTGCCTTCTTCTGGGGGCTCCTACAGGTATTCCTTGTTTACTGACTGCTTCGTTTAGTGACTGTTCGAAGTTACTGCTATATACTAATGCCTTATAATAAACTACAGTCTCATCAGTATCAACCAGCAGTGCATGCATAAATTTGCCAAAGTTGTGTTCATAAAATCACTGTGTGTGTGGATTTGCCTGGTATTTTTCCTCCTTCCTTATGGAACTGAAATCACAACGTTTTGAAGAGGATGTGTGAATATAGCCAAGAGTGAATAATGCAGAATTACTGCAGATCACTCTTAGGTTCTTTGTGTATATAACTGTAAACCTCAAGATATTACTGATTAAAAACTTGTCAACATAATTGCTCAAATATTTCAATAAAATAACTGAAGAATATGAGAAAAAAAACCTTCTTGTCATTGCAATTTTTGTTAAAGATACGGTTTCCTCTGGTAGACCTATCTAGCTGAATGTATGAATGCCACTGTGCAGCTAACAAAAGAATGAACACTTGTATGAAAAGTCTCTGCACATTCTTTCCCACAGAAGTCAACGAAAGGGTCGGTTGTCCTGGGCTACGTATTTCGGCATTTAAACCTCGTTGAGATAGATTATTTTGGACTGCGCTACTGTGACAGAAGTCACCAGACGGTGAGTAAAGCTACAAGAGATTAGATTTTCCAGAATAGATAAACCATTCAGAGTGACCTTTTTTACAGTTTTGCTTTATACTGTCATATGCTGTCTCAGCAAATCAGTTGTTAAACAGATAAAATCCATTTCTATTTAGTGCATACAAATTAATATTTAGTCAGGAATTCCTTTTGGGGGGGAGGAAGGGTTATTCATTAATTATATAAAAATTGCCTTTCCTATTCAGAGGAATAGATCCAAGCCTCAAATTTGGTTAACATGTCAATAAACAAGTAAATGTTTCCTAAGAGGAAGCTTGCAGCTGAGACAGATTTATATTAATGTTGAAGTTATTCAGTTGTCTGCATGTTATTTCTGAGTAACTCAAAACTCTCACCACATAGTCTTAATTAGCCAACCTTTAATCTCATACTTCTTGATGCTAAATCTCTATGGAAGGAGAGCATGTATGAGGTATTCCCTGTTCAATGGGCAGTTGCATTTGTTAGATTTTTATGGAGATGTGAGTCAAAAGTGCACATCCTGTTCTGAGCAAAAGGCTTGTTCTAGATGAAATACTGGAGAACTGGGAAATACATTTCATATTATGCAATTTATCTTGTTAATGGTTGAAACTAGGACAATTGTCCACATATATTACAGTGATGAAAAGGAGTCATACAGTTGGAGTGACTTGAACATGATCATGCACATGTTACACATGATTAACCTGAAAATTAAGTATGAACTTTCCAAGTTCCAAACTAATGATGGCTGGTGTGGGTCTTCCGGGCTGTATGGCCGTGGTCTTGAAGTCTTGTTTCCTAA